TCGTCTTTTTCCACACTTTTAACAGAAAAATACGCCACTCACATAATTCACCACCGTACAGAATATATTCTGATTTATTGCGAGCAACACAACCTGATGTTGTTGCAGTTGTAGTAATTTCCAGCCTGTCCTTGTTTGTCCTGCCTTTGCCGCTCCTCTGAGTTCCCTGTTTGACATAAAAAAATGGATGCAGGAAATGAAATTGTTTTAAAAGTTTTATCCGGCCTGTACAGCTCATCTACTAACTGGAGGGTTGATGGTGCGATCCCTGGCTGCTCCGGCCTGCGTGCCAAATATCCTCGGGCAAGACATTAACCCTAAGTTTCCCTCTATTCATGCACATGTTGAGCATGAGTGCTGGAGGAGATGTGGGTTACATTGTGTTGCTAAAGCAGTTAGTGGAACATCAGTCGACGGTTAAGTATAACAGTGAAGTTAGCTGGTAGCAGCTAGGTTGTTTGGACTGTGTTGACAGCAGAGTCAGGCTGCACAGTGTTTCTCAGAGCATCTTTTTGCCTCTTTAAACTGTTTTGGTGAAGTAACTCTGTGAGAGACTACGGAGATTAAAAATAAAAAGGGACATGCCACGCACACTTGATGATGCCATTTCCTCTTTCACTTCAGGTTCAGCAGCATTACCGCGCAACATGGCATTCTTAACAAGTAAGCGAGACAGGGAGCCAGGTGACAGTCAGCGTTTGCCTTCCTGTCACAAGGCTCCAGCTGAGGAGAAGAAAATCAGGATGTTATGTAGAAAAACAGGTACTCGCCTGCTGCGAATGTTTTTGTAAACTTCTGCATCTTTCTTTGCAAGTGTGTTATTCCTCCTTAAACTCTAGCTGCTATTTGAAATGATAGTTTCAGTTCCTGTGCCTGTCCTGCAGTGCACAGTGACTCCAGGTCACTGAAGAGGAGGCCTGCCAGCCCTGCTGTGCTCAGATCCACCTGCCCTTTAACAGCTCGAGCACAGAGAAGGATGGACAGGGATGAAAGAGAAGGGAAGCAACAGAAGAAGGGAGTGGAGGGGGACAGGCGAGAGGGCGCTCAGATACACCTCCTGAGACCTCGCCAGCACTTACTTCATGTCAAGAGGGCTAACAAGGTCTGGTCATGCTTTACTACACGTTTGCTTGTGTGAAAAGTGTGCTGTTGTATCATCGGTATGGAAACCAAACACTAATAAACATACAGGTCCTTTTAACACCCGGGGTTGTTCCTTTTGGACTTTGTCAACAGTTTTTTACTGAGTTCGATGAGAAGAGTAAAAGGTCTTGGACACATTGTCAGTGGCACCTGATGGTGGCTGAAGAGGGCCACTGACTGAGTGTGTGTGGATTAATAAAGCTGCTCTTTGACAGTCACAGCGCTGCTGTCAATGCTGCCAAACAGCTGAAACAGTCACAGTGACATTTAACCTGACATGTGCAATATTGAATACAAATGCATAGAGAGCTGTCGCCTCTCTGACATCTAGAGCTAAAGTTAAAGTTGCTGGTAAGTGATACAAACAGTCCAAACACTGGGTCTGCAGATATGAATCAGCTTTAGTGTACACAAATGATGGATTTGTTTGTTTGTTTTGCTTCTGGTTTGTTGTTATCATACACCAACATAGCATTGTTTTATTTTGGTGTTGTGTGTTTGTATATTTTTGCTACAGCTTATATGTCAAAGGAAATCTGAGTATTTCTTCACCCGTGTGTGTGTGCACCCCTTGTGCATTTGAGATTAGCATTTGTTAAAAAAAAACATCCCCAAGACAGACTGTGGGGGTTTGGAGGGTCCTCCCCCCAATGTCATAGATGTTAAATAATTCTCCCCGGATGCTCTGATTTCCTCCCACAATCCAAGGACATCAGTGTTTGATGGAATTACGATCACTAATTAATGTAAATCGTCGATCGGATGCAAGTTTCACTCCATGGGTTAGTCCTCCGATGGTCGTGGGAACTATCTGTTGTGTACCCCCCATAGTTGGCTATAGTTGGATCAGCACTAAAAATAAATGGACAGAGAAACAGGAGCAGTGGTGACACCTCCTTTCATCATCTTATACACAGATCTCAGAAACAAAAAACAGTCCAGAAAGTGACTGAAACCTTTAGAAATGTAAGTTGTGATCAGACTGAAAGCCTCTCACCTTGTCTGTGTGTGTGAACGTATTTAGTTTCAATCTCTGGGCTATGTCATCACGGCTCAGTGATGCCAACGCTAAAGTCATGTGATGGTGGCGTTGTTCCTCTGGATGCGTCGTTGACTTCATATGTTGCCAAATGCATTTAAACAAAAATTGCATGGTTACTGTG